AATACCGATAAGTGATTAATAAAAGTCAAAAGACCAAAGAGGTCACCTTAATACCAAAAAAAAAAAAAAAAAAAAAATTTTGATTTTTATAATAGTCTTATCTAATTAGATAAAATATAATATTTTTATATACAAATCAGTTCTTGCATAGTAGACAAAGTTATTTAATATAATAATTAGTATATAATTTGAGAATTTTAGAAAATTTAATAAATTTTTTAAGGTTATTTTTAGTACTTTAAGTCTTAGTAAATGGAAAAAAATAAATAAAACTTGTTTATAATAACATATTTCTAAACTGTATTATAAACATTCATTAAAAGAAGTATGATGACTTAGTAAAGTAGTTAGGTTGTCAACACTTCAAGTAATAGGTTAGATGTTCAAATCCTATTAATAATAAAAATTTGGATAATCATAAATGTAATATTCATATTATAATAACTGTTATTAATAATTGGATTAGAATATCTGTAATGATAATTACATTAGCATGACTGGCAGATTATAGAACATATATGCAATATTGAGATTATACAGAAAAATGCAAACTGATAATAGAATAATATAAATACTAAATAAATTTTTATGGTTATATAAATCTGTTGAAATCAGGTAACAAGAAGTTTATTTAGAAAGACCTAAGTAGAGAGATAATTGAATCTTTAATAGCATTATTGTAAAGACTAGTTTGAGAAAATAAATACCAAAGTCTTTATAACTGAACAGACAAAAATCTTTAGGTTGGGAGTTTCAGAGATATTACTAACCAGGTTGCTAAAATGAACTAGAAAAAAAAAATATTAGGCTGATCTAATATACTAATTGACTGGTTATAATCCTATATAGTCTATTTGAATTAGGAGTCTGGTGAAATTTAGAAATATATTAAAGTATTGAAGTTATGTTATGAAATAGATGTTAAGATTTAAGTAAACTCTACAAGGACATAGTAATTTAATAGTTAAATTTTGACTACAAGTATTAGTTCTGCTATAGTGATACCTAAATCAACTGTAAAAATAAATATAGAAGATTCTAAAGGATTTATCTCAAGAATAAAATAGTCCTAAGATTGAGACAATGATTTGAATATTTAGATATAATCCAGTAAGTTAACACAGATTACAGATTCAGAGAGTTTAAAGTAAAACACCCAAGCAGAAATGTTAGATATAGCAATTAGTAGAAAACCTTCAAGCAGACTCTTTAAATAAGTAATATAAAAAAGTTATACATGTAACCAATTGTACACTCTCTTGTAGTGGTTCATAGAATTACATTATCAAAAGTCATTAATAAAAGTCAAAAGACCAAAAAAATCACCTTAATACCAAAAAAATAAATAAATAAATATTTATTAAAATTTATTGAAATTATTCTCTGAGTCCTAAAACATGTAGAATTAAATTTTTATAAAAAAATTATTAAAGATTCTTGAGAACTATTATACTTAATTCAAAATTTTAATTTGATAAAAAATCTTATTTTTGGTATTTTAAAATTTTACATAATAAAATATTATAAAAACATGATTCTGAAAATAAAATAAATGTATCATGTTATATAAAACAATATATTCTTTTTTTTATTAAACTGTTCTGATATAAATTTTACAATGTTTTATTATATAAAATTTTAAGATACCAAAAATTAGATTTTTTTAAAAATTAAAATTTTAAATTAAATGCAATGGTTCTTGAGAACCTTTAATAATTTTTTTATAAAAATTTAATCCTACATGCTCTAGGACTCAGAGAAAAACCTCAATAAATTTCAATGAATGTTTATAATACAGTTCAGGAATGCGTTACCATAAACAAGTTTTATTTATTTATTTTATTTTTTATTTACTAAGACCTAAAGTGCTAAAATAACCCCAAAAAAATTATCAAATTTTCTAAAATTCTCAAATTATATGCTACGTAGTCGTTATGTTAAAACAACTTTGTTTAATATTTAAAAAACACCCCTCGATTTGTATATAAAAAAAACTGTTTTGAATGTGGATACAATCATCATCCAATTATGTTAAACCATCGTGAAAATCAAAATTCCGGTGATATACGCAAACCTAATATTCGTATAGTATCATGTGATTTCGGAATTTTTTGGGGTGGCGATTTTACCCCAGTTTGTTATTACGCGCAAATACGGTATGCATTTTATAATAGATGCTCAAAAAACTATAATAGTTTATTATAAAAAATAATCTAGACGATTTGAACAGAATTTAACATCAGCATAATGATATATAAAAATAAATCTATATAAAACTCCATCCTTCACAATCCTTGCACTCTCGTTCAACTTCACATTTTGCAATATTTTCCCTTCCTTCCGTAATTCTAGGCCATTCATTAATGACTTTATTAATGAATGGTAACAGAGCATGATTCATAATTGAGGGTTTCCAACCAAGTTTAGCGCGAGTATCATATGTACATGTGTTGCCCAGATGGCATTTTGTTTCCATCTAATTATATTAATGAGAACACTTAAAATGCTAATGTTTAAATAATAATAACAAATGACTTTTATTTTTTTACTTACAGCGAATCCTACATGATAACATGTTGAAGTTTTACCATTACAGGTGCCAGTGAAAACTGGATCTGCTGTATGTCCAAAATGATAAATCTGCAATCTTTCTAAATAATCGTTTAATTCAGATTCAGAGTTATCAGGAAGAAGACCAATTCGTTTTGCATAAAGGAGTTCACCGGGAGTCTGGAATACTACTGCTGGAAGATTATGAGTTAATGCTATTAAAGAAGCTATTGAACCGCCTTTTAATTAAGATAAAAATTTAAAGGCAAAGAGAACAGGAAAATGTTATATATAATGAAAAGTAGTTAAATACAGCGAGTTTAAATCGTATGTAAAATGAGACGAAACCTAATGAATGCCCTGTAAGCCAAATTTTTGAATTTGGATAATCGATTGTTGCTTGTTGATAAATTTCCTGAATAATAATAGTAAAGTTATTAATATATTTTGAATACATTATGAGTTGGAGACATTAAATAATTTTTATTTAACTTACTAATCCAGTTTTATAATAACTATCCTTAAGATTACACTCGTTTTGGATACAAGTACTATTACATTTCATCTTATTCATACGACAATCGCATACGCCTCTCCAGGTGAAATCAATTTTTGCGCAACAACATGAAAACATAAGATTATCCTAATGTTTAGAAAATTTTGGTAAAACATACATATATATAATCGTATTCTTAAGGCTTTATGTAAACTTACATTAAGCTTATCCTTAGGAGCAGTCGGACCACCACCATTTATTATATGTAAACTAGTTCCTTTAAATGCTATTATAATTGTAGAATTATCTGGATCTGCAAATACGTAACCTCGTAAACCTACATTCTCCCAGCCAAATGGTAGTTTCTATGTAATTATTAGCATATAGTATATGCAGTTGCAGTATTAGTATATATATACTAAAAAAATTAGAAACCAACTTTCTTATTAAAATAAAAAATAGCACACCTCCCAATTTTCGTCTAAATCAATCCAATCAGCTTCTTTTGATAACTCAATATATGCATCGTAACTCATTTTAGCTAAATTCGATATCGAGTCTTTATCTTTATAATTTGGAATTTTATTTTGAACAGTTTTTACACCAATTAAAGGGTTTGGGTTATCGATACAATTAACTACATGATAGTTATCACCTAAACTAGCGGTAAAAGAAACTTGGGTAAATATAGATTGTCGGTTTTGAGGATTGATTTCAAGCTTTCTGAATAGGTTCTTAGTTGACGGTGAAGTTCCACCATGATGTAAGACTTGTTTTAGAGTAAAATATTTATTATCAGAATCGCTACTTTTCACCTCCACAGAAAAAGGAATTTGTTGAGAGTAAGCAGACGAACGAAACACTATTAGGGAAAGAAAAATACTAATAAATATCGATATTGGATAACATCTAAGCATTTTTAGAGAGACTTATGAAAAATATAAAACAAACCAAGTGGCTAAAATAACTCCGAAACATTACCGTTTATAAAAAAACTGTTTCTATAAAAATGTTTGTTACAATTGCAGGCTTGCAGAATATGTACGTAACGATAATTGTTGATTTAATGCACGCACGTTTCACATGATTGATTCTTTTTTTTCTAGAAGCATTTCATCATCCCGTCAAAAATGAACTGTCCCAACGACACCCCGAATTCACATGAATATAGTGCAAGACACCTAAAACCGGAAAATATCTATCAGAGAATAAATAGTATAGTTATAAATAATTCTTTCTGTAAATATGTAAAGAAAATAAGAAACATAAAATTAAGATTTGACAATATTGAATCTTTTTAAAGGCTTGATGATAAACTGATTAAAATAAATATATATAAATATATATAATACATATTTTAGATTTTGGTCGCTTCATTGGACTAATCCATATAAACCAAAAAATTTAGTCTTGATTAGTCACTAATAATGTGAAACTCTGCAATATATCTGACCTCAATTTGGCCAAAATACCGTTTAAACATTCCGGGATAAACTGCACTTTTTGTATCACTAATCCTGTTGATGACTAGTATTATTTATATATATACATTTAGTTGTATTCTTAATATATAAGGTAGATATGGGTATTATGGCGCAGTTAACTTTGGTTATAATATTGGCCAAATTTTGCAGATCACCCTATCCCTAACCAATCAGAGTTCTTACCTCACCATAATCCAAATCTCATCATAATCTGCGACGATTACATGTTATATACAAATTAATATGTCAAAGATTAAATTATTTATGATACCGAAATCCGTTAATCTTATCATTTCTATTCTCCTCGATACAATTATCAACAAAATTTCGACTGTTTAAATCAATAATAAGTTCAAACCCAAAAGAAATAATAAATCTGTTTGGACTCTTTTTTTCGTTGAATTGTCGCCTAACTTCTAGAGGTACTCTCCATAATACTTTTCGTTTGTTGAGAATTTTAGAAATTAATTGTCTACAATTGATCTGATGATTAGTCGACGAAATAGTATGCATTAAAGGTTTTTTTGATAGGAACTCTTATCGGGTTTTCAAGCAATTGGATTTGAATTGATTTTACTCGTGTTTCATTAGTAACCGATGAATTATCGGTATTTTCCACTTATTTGACGGGTAGTAACGTAATGCATTGTTGATCTTGCGTGGAATAAAGAACGTGCGGCATATTTGTGAATTGTAATACTGTTGAATGAATTCAACCGTTCGTTTTAATGCGCCTTGATAATTAAAAAAAATAAATATATATCAGCTATTGAAACTCTTTAAATATAATCTCCTTATTCTTAGTAATTTTTCAAATCTCGTTTCTATGTAACTATGTAATAATCTTACCTTCTTGTTCGAATACTACCTGGATAATACATTTTGTATGTGGCACGCTTGATTCTCGGGAAATCTTGCTCAAAATCAGCTGATAATTACTGCGGGATCGATTAACATCCCTAACACTAGGTTTATCTTGCATAACGTACAAGCCTAAATAGGGTTTGTTCAGTTTGGGAAAATTTGTAGTTTGGGTGGCATATATAACGATAATTATAGTGACAAATAATCTGTGAAAGTGTAACGTAAAAAATATATATATTCTATATACCGATTATGCCAAAATCAATAACTTGACCAAATTTGCCCAAGATTATAAAAATAGCTGTAAACTGGCCGCTTGAAACAAAATTTAATCGCTAATTGTAAAGTCTAGATCATACTGAATAACGCAATTGTAGTATGTTATTAATGCGATAATAAAACAAACCATTATGCCTATCAGAATGATTAAAAATAAATAACTACTGTAGTGCGACCAAAGTACCGGGTACAATACAATTTACCCATCAAAAAACTTACAAAAGACCGGTATATTATACAGCGACGGGTCAGTGTCGCAGGATAAATTTTTCAAGCATATATATATTCTACACTTACAGTAAGCAGTCTAAAATCTATACTTAATTAATAGATATCTCGTGTTTTGCTTTGCAAGAGGGGTATTGATAAAGGAGGTCAGTGCATTACGTAGATATGAGTATTTATACTTTATTTTATTCATACACTAACTTATTATTTATCCCACTGTATTATGCAACACTTTATTTTGTTAGTAGGTTAGCGATGTCATAGGCAGAAGTTTGTCTGATTGGCTATTTAATGCATTGGTCAATGTATTAAATTTTTTTTTTTGAATTCTCATTCTGCTGACCCGCCGAGCAGTGTCGTTTTGGAACAGTTTTATAAATTGAAATTACTCAAAATTTTATTAAGATAACTTATTTTAATTTTCTTTAAAAACATGTTCAGCACATAAAAAAATGTATAATTATATATATTTTTAAGTCGTTTTATTAATTATTAAGACTTTGGACATAGTTAGGACACAGCAATAAAAGCTTGGTTCGGATATAGATATTGATTAGTAAAAAGTTCAAAAATTGGCTCATATCGTTTATTTGATTAGTCTAAGTATAAAAGTTATTTGCATTTAAATTATGAGCCGCATGAATGTGAAATAATTAATAATGCAATTGACGATTATAAAAAGATTTCGAATTGTGAAAAATGTGCATATTGTGGAGATTATAATACGAGTGATGCATAATGTCAGGCGTGACGATTTAATGATCGAATGTGTTCGATCATTTATCAACCGATTATACTCAAAAAAAAACTTTACAATCGGTCATGCCAAACAAATCCAATGACCGATCGTTCTCTAATCGATTATTATCTCTACGGATATAACTTATTTCCTGCACGGGCGACCAAGCAAACTTCATCCGATAATTCACGTGGCAAATAACGATCAGCCAAATATTCAAAACTAATCTTATCATTGATTAGTCCTTGTCTGTTGTAAATTATAATTATTATAGTCAAATCAAAAAAAAAAAAAAAAGGATTAAATAAAGGAGAATTTAGTTAAATAGATGTTTACCTCTTCATTAATAATAATACATCTTTGTCTTGAATAATCTCCCGTTTACCGTGCGCAGCATAAGTTGCTAAGTCCGTAGCAACTTGCTCAAAAAATAGATGTGTTCTGATAATCTGAATGTCAGAATATAAAGTGCAATGATTATATAAATTAACTTTAACATACGAATTATATTTACCCCTCAAATACCACTTGCATGGCAGTCTTTGACAATTTCGCATTTGAAAAACTACCGAACAATCTCTTAATCAGCGAATGAGGAAGTTGTGGTGGTCCTTTGGATTTAGGCACCCTTAATAAAATTAATTAAAATAAATAATTCATATAAAATAACAATAATAATAACTGTTGTTTTTTTTAAGAAAAAAACCTTTGATTTTTTGGGCGTTGTTCCTGATCTTGTACATCATTTTCATCATCATCGTCAAGTTCTATGGGGTTATTATTGATCTCTCCAATGCATTCCATAATCTCTGTAACTTGATCATTATAAATATTTGTATCAACATTAATATCATGTGGACTACTTTTGAACTCTCCAGTAAATTCCATAGTCTCTGTAGCTTGATCACTATAGACATTGGTAATATCATCATTATCATAATCTAGGATGTGACGCCGTTCCTCGGGTTCTTTTTCATCATCATCATCATCATCATCATCAACAAGTTCTAAAGGGTTATTATTGATCTCTCCAATGAATTCCATAAACTCTGTAACTTGATCGTTATAAATATTTGTATCATCATTCATATCACGAGGAATAATTTTGAACTCTCCAGTAAATTCCATAGTCTCCGTAGCTTGATCACTATATACATTGGTAATATCATCATTATCATTATCTAGGATGTGACGCTGTTCCTCGGGTTCTATATCTTTGATCTCTCCAGTGAATTCCATAATCTCTGTAGCTTGATCACTATAAATATTTGTAATATCATCATTATCATTATCTAGAATGTGACGATGTTCCTCAGGTTCTATATCTTCTATCTCGATATTATTTTTCTCAGGTTCTACATCTTCTATCTCGATATTACTTGGACCTGGCACATCAGGAGCAATTTGAGATTTTTGCACAAATCCTGGGGCTATTAATAAATTGGTTATTCAATATATCGTATGCTCAGGGACTGCTATCATTTAATAATGTATTGATATAATACCTCGAGACAATACTCTTAATAAATTTTGTGGTGTTTGTTTCTTTTTCGTTTTTGATTTATCCTCTTTACTTTGCCTTCTCAGCGACCGACGCGTAGAATTTGGTGTCAAATGTATAATAGGAGTTTGACGTGTCCGTGGCGTACGTGGGGTAGAAACTCTTTGTCTTTTTGGTGTGCCAACTCTTTGTCTCAAAGGTGTTAAGTGTTGGTCTAACGCAGGCTGAACAAGAGCCCTTGACAATTGACGTAACTATTAATGAGACACGCTATGTTTAGATATCGAAAGAATAACAAGTTAATGTTAAAAAAATGTATAGCAGTCAAATAATACAACCTTACCATTCTTGACGGAGTTTCTTCGGGCACTTTTATTGATGCCTCTTTTGAACTTTCACCACCAGTCATTATTCTTAAGTTGTTTAAATTGTTATGTAATGGTGAAAGATCGTTATAATTTTATAATATTGTATCGCTACCTCAGAATAGAGGAATAGATTAGTGCATCCAATCAAATTTCGAGATCGGGTGTAACGTAAACAAAGCATGATGGAAATTTTTGATTGGCTAATTAACGAAAATTTTGATTGGCCAAAAATTAAAAGAATTAATTCAAAAGAAACATTATTTTTATTAACCATTACTCTTTAAAAGTTAAAAAATACATAATATTGCTATCGTGCTACAAACCAGCATTGTCAGAATCGCGTTCAAAAAACCATTTTGCAAAATTTCGGAAGACTTTAATTATAAAAATTTCGATATTGCTACATTCAGTTAAAAAGTTTTATTATAAAATAATATAAAAAACTCGTGTATCAATATTTTGTCAATATAAAATAATTATTCAATTAAAACATTTCCATTATACTTCCCTCGTAATAAATGAAATTTTTTTATCAAATATCAAACGATAGAATTGATAGAATTATAAACTTCTATAATACATAATAAAGCTATCTTAAATATAAAACACGAATAAATCATGTAGAACCTATTTATTACAAAAATTTAATGCTTTTTATTACGTCCTTAAATAATACCAAAAACCTCAAATATATGAATTTATTTATTCAAGTTCAAAAACTAACAAAATGTAAAGTTATCCTATATCAGAAACTACCTTTCTAGTTTTTTGATATCGCCAATCATACTTTTTTTTTCAGTTTCATTAGCGTCACAATGAACTAATATTAAATGTTTATTATGACTACCGATTAAGTCAATAATATCATATTCATCTTCTATAAAGAAAAAAAAATAAAAAGAAAACCTTTATATCGTCTGATGCTCTGATTGGTCTACCTATGCATCCTATTTACCACTAGGCTAGATCGAGTTTTCAGATTTGACATAACAGAGAAAGACGTTCACAGGTACACCTGTGGCCAGGAGCTTTCAGTACTCTTATGTCATCCTAGTGGCAGCGTAACTTCAAAACATAACGATTGGAAATTCATTTCATGGTTTCTTATTTTATTCCGCGCAAATAAATGTTAATATACTTTAATGAAATTTCTATAAAGAAAAAAAATAAAGAGACCAAATTTATAAGTAAAATTTTTTTTTTTATACTTGCTGGCGTTATCGCCACAGGACGCCATGTGGCGTATAGTATAAGTCATTATCATCAAGGAATCTCTGATGCCATTAATGTATCCTATTCACTACAACTTCAGCATTAGGCTGAGATTTCAGGTTAGACATAACCAGTGACCGCGATGAGCTTCCAGTTCTTTGATGTCACCCTAGTGGCAGCGTAACTTCAGACACATAACGACTGGAAATTTATTTAGTAATTTCTTACCTTACTCTGTGCTGATAACTATTAATGTATTCTGTATGAATTTGTTTTGTGAAATTCTTACGTAGTTATAATAGTATTACCGTATTCTACCGTAAATAAGCACCACACCCTCTACCCCATTTTTTTAAATGCCAGATTAGCGGAAATAACTTGGCTAAAGATCTCATTGCAATGTCCGTTAATCTGACATTTAAAAAAATGGGGTAGAGGGTGTGGTGCTTATTTATGGTAGAATACGGTACTAGTTCTCAGGCCCGGGCGATGCTCCGGGTCTAGGTTTAAGTGTTTTAGATCTTAGATTCTGTAAATATTTAATTTATAAATTTAATATTAGTTTAAAAAATAGTGTAGTAATTAATTTATAGTATTCTAGCTCTTAAGCCTAAGTGATACTTCAGGACTAGGTTTTAAGTGTTTTAAATCTTAGATTTTGTAATTATTTAATTTATAAACTTAATATTAGTTTAAAAAATAGTGTAGCAATTAATTTATAATTTTTTGGCTCTTAGACTCAGGCAATGCTTTAAGGTTAGGTTTTAAATATTTTAGATCTCAGATTTTATAGTTAATTAACTTATAGTTTTTTAACTCTTAGGTCTAGATGATGCTCTAAGATTAAGGTCTAAGTGTTTTTATTTTCATGCTCAGATAATGTTTAGAGTTAGATTTTAAGTGTTTTGGATTTTAGATTTTAGTTATTTAGTTTAAAATATAAAGTATTATTATTTAAATTATAATTTTCTAGTTCTCAAATTTAGAAAATACTCTTAAGTTAAGTCTTAAGTAGTTTAAATTTCAGATTTAAGTTATATTTTAAGACTTTAAATGTCTTAATGTTTTTTAGTTTTTAGATCTAAGTAATACTTTAAGACTAGGTTTTAAGTTTTTTTAGATCTTAGATTTAAGTAATATTTTGTAAATTAGGTTTGGATAATTTATAATTAAATTAAATTTTTTTTTGATTTTTAAAAATATTAAAATTTTTTTTTTTTTGTATTAAAATGATTTTTTTGGTCTTTTGACTTTTATTAATGACTTTTTTAGTAATGTGATTCTATAAATTATTACAGAAAAGAGTACAATTAGCTATACATGTAACTTTTTTATATTACTTATCTAAGGAGTTTGCCTAAAGGTTTTCTACCAATTGCTATATCTAACATTCTTGCTTAGATGTTTTACTTTAAACTCTCTGAATCTATAACCTGTATTAACTTATTAGATCATATTTAGATACCTAGATCATCATCTCAATCTTAGGACTAATTTATTCTTAAAATAAACTTTTTAGAGTTTTTTGTATTTATTTTTACAGCTAATCTAAATATCACTATAGCAAAACCAACACTTATACTTAGAGTTATATTATTTAACTGCTATATTCTTATAGAGTTCACATAGATTCTAGTATCTACTTTATAGCATAATCTTAGTACTTTAGTATACTTCTGACTTTTTATCTATTTTTTTACCAAACTCCTAATCTAGATAACTCATATAAAATTATAGCCAGTCTATCAGTATATTAAGTCAGCCTAATATCTTTTTTTTCTAGTTTGTTCTAATGACCTAGTTGGTAGTATCTTCAAGATTTCCAACCTAGAGGTTCTTGCCTATCTGATTACTATAACTGGATACTACAATCTTGGTATCTGTTTTTTTAGATTAGTTTTTATAGTAGGGTTATTAAAGATTTGGTTACTTTTTTATTTAGATTTTTCTAAATAAACTTTTTGTTATCCAATTTTAATAGAATTACATAGCTACAAGATCTTATCTAATGTTTATACTATCTAATTTGTTAGTTTACATTTCTCTTTATAACAAGTTATACTGATGCTCTATAACCTGTTAGTTATACTAATATAATTACTATTACAGATATTCTAATTTAATCATTAGTAATAGTTGTATAATATGAATATTATATAGATAATTATACAAATTTTTATTATTGATAGGATTTGAATATCTAATCTATTACTTAAAAAGTTAATAACCTAATCATTTTACTAAGTTACTATACCTATTATTTAAATTTAAAAATTAGAAAATTGCTAATTTAATTATAAATGAACTTAAAAAATTTTAAAATAGAATTAAGCTCTATAGCTTAACAATAAAGCTGCTAATCTCTTACAAATAAGATCAATAGTTTAAGTCAGGCTAAAGACAAAATCTTAGAATTTTAATTCTGTAATCGATAAGAAGCCAAATTGAATATGAAGCTCTATGAAAAAGTTCTAAAATAAAGTACAAGGATGAATTAGGAATTCCTAGAAGAAGACCAACTCTGCAAAGTGAAGGCATTATATATAATAGCAGTGTTATAAAAGGTTTGGCCAACAATAGTATTGCATATATAAGTCTCTAGAAAACAGAACAGTACCAACATCTTTGTATTCAACTGATAAAGTACTTAATTAAAAGAATAATATTATATAACTAAACTAGAGTAGTAAGCAATGTGATGCATGCAGAGAAGATTTGTAACAAAGAATTAGTCTAACCAAAATTAGAACATCTTAGACAGGTACCTCTAAAAGTAACTTGAAAAGTATTCTCTAAGCAATCACAGGTTGAACAAATAAATAAAGGGTGAATAATAGGTAAATAACAAAAAAAAAATCTGCTATTATTCTACCTTATATTTGCCAAATAATGGCAGTATAACAGCAGCATAACAGCAGAATAACAGTAAAATAACAGAAGGTTTGT